TTGTACATGAACAAAAGTTTACAAGGAATGCGTCTCTTGAAGATCAAACTTTAAAGGTTGGATTTGATGCGCATCGAGGTCGTAGGAGAAGTGGCTATCCAGGACGGGGCAGGGGTCGAGGTCAATTCTGGAATAGAGAAACGGTGGAGTGCTATTGTTGTCACAAGTTAGTACATCTCAAGAATGAATGTCCTGAAAGGACCTATCAGGTTCATTACACTGATGGCCCTGATACAACACATGAGGAGATGCTCCTTATGGCATCTGTTGATTCTGATGTGGTAGAGTTTAACAACTTTATGACTTTTCATGGTTCGACAGATAAAGATGAATCATGGTGGTTCATAGACTCGGGGTGTAGTAATCATATGAGTGGAGATATGAAGTGGTTCTCTAGCCTTGACCGTTCCTTCACCTGCATTGTAAAACTAGGGAATGGTATGAGACTACAAGTCCAAGGAAAAGGGAGTGTCAATATGCGTGTTAATCATATTCCATTGAAGGTACAAGATGTTTTTTTGTCCCTGGATTGACTAACAACCTGCTTAGCATGGGTCAAATGATCGAAAAGGACCTAGTTTTTTTTCTCAAGGATAGTTCTTGCAAGATATTTCATAATACAAAGGGGTTTCTTTTCCAAACTCAAATGAAGAGCAACAGGATATTTATTTTACATGCTACTCCTCAAGTTGTATCTGACTCAGGAGAAGTACAGTGCTTGAACACCACCAAAGCTGGAAAGAACAATTTGAATCTATGGCATAGGAGATTTGGTCACCTTCACCATCGGGGGTTGGAGACGCTTCAGAAGTCAGAAATGGTAAAGGGTCTACCTAAGTTTAAGGCTCGGGGATAAGATGGAGCGTTCACTATATGTTTGGTGGGAAAACAGCACCGAAAACCATTTCCAAAGAAAAGCTTGTGGCACGCCACCACAAGACTTCAGCTTATACATGCTGACTTGTGTGGATCGATCACCCCATCTTCTCAAAGTGGTAACAAGTATATCTTCACTCTGATAGATATTTTAGCAGAAAATTATGGGTTTACTTCTTGAAATCCAAATCAGAGGCATTTGGTGTATTTAAAAAATTCAAAGCTCGGTTTGAAAAGGAGTCCAGTGATGTGATTGCGAGCTTAAGAACAGATAGGGGAGGAGAGTTCCTATCCACTGAGTTCAAACAGTTTTGTGAAGAGCATGGAATAAGGAGGCAGTTAACTGGAGCTCTAACACCCCCAGCAAAACGGGATTGCCGAGCAAAAAAACAGAACATTACTAAATATGGTGAGATGTATGCTAGCTGACACAAAAGTTCCAAGCACATTCTGGTGCGAAGCAGTTAATTGGGCAGCTTATGTGCTAAACAGAAGCCCCACAACTATTTGTAAAGATAAAACTCCACAAGAGCTTTGGAGTGGATTTCCGCCTGCAGTAGATCATTTGAGAGTATTTGGCTGTATGAGCTATGTCCATGTACCTGATCAACAAAGAAAGAAACTAGATGATAAAAGTATCAAGTGTGTATTCTTGGGAGTATCCCATGAATCCAAAGCCTATAGAGTCTACATTCCAATGACTCAAAAGGTTCTGGTGAGTAGAGATGTTATATTTGATGAAATCAAAGGTTGGGAATGGGACTTTGAGAAAGCAAGTACTGAAACTCAGCTCACGTGGGAAGGTTATGAAGAAGATATAGATGATTTAGAAGAAGAATCTGAGGATCCTATTACTGTTACAACACCTATGGCCGCTCAGATTGTGCCACCAAAAGCCAAAGTGGGCGATGAACCGACTGATTTAAGCTCGAACAAGTCAGGAAGTGCACAGAGTTCAGAAGCTGAAATCATAAATGATTCAAATGCTCAAAATTCGGAATTGGGTCCAAGAGTACGCACAAAACTGAGTTGGCATGATGCATATGAAATGGGCAACATCATGCTTGATACAAATCAGTATGCATTACAAGTGGATAGTGATGATCCTATTGCTTTTGAGGATGCTGTGAAGGAAGAAAAATGGAGAACATCCATGAATGTGGAGATGCAAGCCATTTAGAAAAATGACACTTGGGAGTTGACTAGCTTACCCTCAGGAGCAACACCAATTGGTGTTAAATGGGTATATAAGACCAAGTTAAATGAGAATGGTGAAGTGGATAAATACAAAGCAAGACTAGTGGCAAAGGGGTATGCTCAACAATATGGAATAGACTATGACAAAGTGTTTGCTCCGGTTGCAAGGTGGGATATTATAAGGACCATGCTAGCTCTTGCAACACATCATGGGTGGCATGTCTATCAATTAGACGTGAAAAGTGCATTCCTCCATGGTGATCTCACAGGAGAAGTTTTTGTAACGCAACCGCCAGGCTTTGTGATCTCAGGGAAGGAGAACAAAGTTTACAAATTGAAGAAGACCTTATATGGATTAAAGCAAACACCAAGAACATAGTATAGCAAGATTGGACATTATTTTAAGGAGGCTGGTTTTGAAAAGTGTCCATATGAACACACTTTGTTCATCCAAAGGAAAGAAGGTGATTGTATGCTTGTTAGTTTATATGTGGACGATCTTATGTATGCTAGCAGCAGTAATCAAATGGTGATACCATTCGAGAAAAGCATGAAAGCTATGTTTGAAATGTCTGACTTAGGCCGAATGAAGTATTTCCTGGGAGTCGAGGTCGGTCAAGCTGAGCAAGGAATTTTTCTTTGCCAAAAGAAGTATACAAGAGATCTGTTGCTGAAGTTTGGACTCTTGGAGAGCAATCATGTGCGTAATCCTATTGTTTCGGGAAGCAAACTGACTCTAGAAGGTGATGGTTGTCTTGTTAATGATACTGAGCATAAGCAATTGGTTGGTAGTCTTCTGTACTTAACAGCAACTAGACCAGATGTCATGTATGTGGTTAGTTTGCTAAGTAGATATATGGCTAAGCCAACAAGGGCTCATATGCAGGCAGCAAAAAGGGTGTTGTGGTATCTAAAGGGAACCATGGAGTTTGGCATCTGGTATAAAAGGGATGTTCAGTGTAAGTCTTTAATTGGATTCACCGCAAGTGATTATGCGGGGGATGTGGATGATAGGAGAAGCACTAGTGGTTATGTCTTCTTTTTAGTCGGTGCTGCAATTTCATGGTCGTCAAAGAAATAACCTATAGTCACCTTATCAATAACCGAGACTGAGTTCGTGGCGGCAGCTTCTTGTGCAACCCAATGTATTTGGCTGAGACATGTGCTTGAACAGATGGGCTGGCTGAAGAGTGTTGAAGGCGAAACAACAATACTGTGTGATAATGTTTCAACTATCAAATTGTCCAATAACTCAGTGTTACATGGAAGGAGTAAGCATATAGACGTGCAATTTCATTTACTTCGAGATTTAGCCAAGGAAGGAGTGATCAAGCTAGAGTATTGTAGTACAGATGCTTAAATTGCTGATGTTATGACTAAGGCCGTAAAACTCGAGACCTTTAAGTCACTAAGAACCAGGCTAGGAGTTGGGAAGTGGACTGATATGGTGAAGGAGAGCTCAAGTGCTGCTAGTGGCTGAAATGTGATGCTGTGACTATTGATAAACTCAACATTGATCATGTTGAGTTTAGGGGAGGATTTGTTGGATTAATATGTCATTATTTGCATTGAATTAATAATTAGTAGAATAATAAATATCGTTAGTGGGCTCCTAGTTTTAAGCTTTAGTTGTTAGAGTCATGGCTTTGATTGAGTCATGCCTATTTGTTAGGAATAACAGTTTCTATAGCTTGCAGTTAGTAAATTTTATGTATTTAACGTTGTTTCAATTCAATAAACATCATCTCGTTTTGCTCAATTAACACTATGCTCATATGCTCATATCTGTTTTTTTCACTTTAAAGATTGCATTGCATTGTCACTAAGTGATACTGTACACGATATTTCTGGTGATTAGTGCAATCTCCATTGTAAATTTTTGGCTTCTTGAGAAACTGAATTATAGTAAATGTTGCTGTTGGCTTACAAGGCTGTATTTTCATGTTTCATTCCTACAACAAATGGCACAGATCAAATGCTTTCAATCTCTTTTAAATAGTACATAAAGTAAACCACTGGCCCTGGATACTTGATAATGAAAATTGGGCGATACCTTGTGATGAGACTGGAAATGGTGGAAGATTATGTTTCTGCTGTTTGAATATTGAATATTATTTATTTAGTTCCACATGGATGTGTGAACCTAAGTTCATTTAAACGTTTTTGGGCGGGAAATTGTGATGTTTTTATGAGGCAACATAATCCTAACTTGAATGTAAGTGTTTGAATTTCCAAAGGTTATAGTCATATAGGACCTCAATGTTGCAGTTCTAAATCTAAGATGAAGTCCAAGTTCATTTCCTAATAATTATATAAGTATGTGCATCATCAAGTTGGTTAGATATTCAAGAAGCGTTTTAATATGTAGTGTTCATATTATACCCTCTGTGTTAGTACACACTTGTTTAGTTGTTTTAATATGTAGTGTTCATATTATACCCTCTGTGTTAGTACACACTTGTTTAGTTATGTTCTATATGCATTAACAAATACATTTTGATAAGAAGATTGCTACCAAAGCTATGAAATGGGATTTTCTACATTAAAAGAGAAAGAATATTAAATTGACTAAATAAAATAAAAGGAATAAAATAACTTTTCATTTGATTTTTTTATTCTTAATGTGTCATAGACACTACATATATAGAACTCTCAATGGATAATTAACTATAAGGTTCAAACTCTATTAAAGGCCCAACTCAACAACATTTAAAAATAACAACATAATTGTATGACTACTTAAAATATCTAATTGCACCTCATATCATTGCTGCCAGGTTCACATTGAACCTTGTCCTCAAGGTTCTAAAATTACTCCCGGATCCCATTGCTTAAACTGAACAATCATAACAGGAAATTTATCTTGAGTCACTTGGAAGGTTCTCCGCAGTTGCCTTCTCTAACCACTTAATTGGCTCATCTTTTTTTTAAGCAATCTTCAGTATACAACTTTGTTGATGATATGAGACAGGAAGCATTTCTATTTGTTGATTTTCAGCAACTCTTTGATTCTGTCTCAATTTTTCATGAAAGAAGGCCCAGAAACCCAGAAGTTTAGGTATAGCATCAATGATCATGACAGCAATGAAAGTAGCAGCAATGTATCCCCAAATGACAGCATGAGTCACCCAATACCGTCTAACAACATCCATAGCCAAATGTAAATTGACAATAATAACCACTGCCAAAGTCCAAAGATCACCTATGCTTGCTACATCAACAGTACTTTTCCAATATGCAAAGAGTGGAGGCCAAAATATAACCATGCTTTGCCACAAAGTATCAGCCATTGTTAACATAAACAGTTTTTTGTTGTAGGCTCCATTTCTTTGGCCAGCACTATAAAGCTGAGGGTACCTTAGGAGACTATTGAATACAATGTGAAACTCCATTCGCTTATAGAAGTTGTTAAAGTGAACGTAAGCCTTTGGTAATTCCAGTGACCATGAACCAACAGGAGAGGAACTAAGAACCTAAACTGTCCCATTGCAAAATCTGATGACATTACAGCTTGCATACCCTCTTGTCCACTGATACCAACTCCAACATCAGCCATTTGAATCATTGACACATCATTAGCACCGTCTCTAATGGCTAGTGTTATTGGGCAACGCATGAGATATTCACACATCAATAGTACCACCGGATTCATAACCGGATGTCTAAAGTAGGAACGTGGAAATATCATGGACCACAATCGAAAGAGACACAACGTCTTTGAAGAAGGCCAACTGCTATTTTCTGCATTCTTTATACTCTCAACAAATTGCTTTCTAGTGGTTTCTATTCTGCGACGAGCACATATTGCAGCAAAGTAAGGGATTTCCGTACTTATCTCTATCAACGGTTTCACCAGCATATTAACTAACTCAACATTCAATGGTTTCTTATTTGTCAAAACAACAAAATATTGGAGTAATACTCCATAAAATACCTACACTTTCTTTCGATTTTCTGCAGCAAGATTATTGGACAAATTGACAACAGTAAGATTATTCCAAACAGAAAAATCCAATGGAAATGGTCCAGAAAATTTGTTAGATTGAAGATAAAGACTAGTCAAGTTTTTCAGCTCAGAGAATCCATTAGGGAAAAAACCAGTGATACCATTTGATCTAAGACTCACCGTCTCAAGAGCCGCGAGGCGATTGAGAGTGTTCGGTGGGATTGGACCACTTAATCCAGCTCCAGGTAATCGAATCGCGACAACTCGAGATCGATCGGCGTTGTTAGGGTTATTGAATTAGCTTCATAACACATTTATTCAGTTTTGCTATTTCCTTTGGGAAGAATGAGAGATAAAAGTAATATGCCTGCAAACTGTTTGATTAATTGTTCGTGAGAGAGTATTGTTTTTTAGTTATTTAAAGGGGGGTTCAAACCCTTAGAATCCGTCTCGTTTTTTGTAGTGTTAATTTTAAATGATATGGCGTGATATGCCAATTTCCGTTAAACATTAGAAAATATTTTTTTTTAAAGAAATTTTTTGAAGGATTAAAAACAAAATTCACAATGTAAAAATATATTTAACTCTATTTATTATTATTCTTTTATTCACACTATTTTACTTGTTACTATTTAAAAAATATATTGTATTAATGTACTTTTTTACTTATCATATATTTATTATATTTATTTGTTATAATACTATACCACCGACAACAATAAAGTTCAATCTAAATCATTTATATATAACTTATTTTCCTTTAAAGATGTGTATGGTTACCAAATTTTAAGAATCAATCCATTTTAATGATTGTAGTTTTAAAACTAAATCATTTTTTATAATAACCAATTTAAAATTGTAAAATGGTTTTAATTTAGTTCAAAACTGATTTAAATCGGTTTTCAATCAAAATTGATTTATAAGGAAATTGTATCTTTCTTAATTTGAAGAGACGAAAAAAATTCAGATTAATGAAGGGAACAAGATGCAAAGGCATATGTCATTTTTATACTATTATATTCAAACACCAGCACAAATCGTTTTTCACAATTTTTTTGAAAAGCAAAAAAGTAAAATTCAATTTAAGAGTAAAAACATTACACTTTAATCTATGATAAAGTTGCACCAGAACACTAAAACTAGAACCCAAAAAAACTAAAACAAAACATCCTAAAACCAAGACAAAATCTGCTTCAAAACAATTGCTACACTATAACAGTTAAACAAAAAAACACAGATTAACAATCGTTCATCACAATTAACTTAATAAATTCTTCTTCCCTTAACTAATCGCCACTCTAATTAACTAATTAATAATAAATAAAATAAAATATATAAACTAGTTTTCCATTTTCAATTTGAATATTATATAAATTGATTTACACGAATTTGAATTTCTTGTGCCTTAATAATATCTTATTCATTAATAATAATATCATATACATTTGGTTTTATGTATGATAACTGATTATCAAAAATAAAAATCACATTTTTGTTTTGATATCAAAATGGATCTGGAGCGATTGACATCGAACACAAATTAGATTATAAAAATTGATGCACCTTACTATATCATTCATAGGTTTTCTCTCTATATATATATCAAAATCATTAAATTCATTTTTCCATCATCTTTTCTCTATTTTAAATGCTATATTGATAATTTCATTCATAATTATATTTTGTGAAGTTTTTCCACACATTCTCATATATATTACACTTACCTTACATAAAATATCTGATTAAAAATTAATTATCATTCTCATATATATTACACTTACCTTACATAAAATATCTGATTAAAAATTAATTATTTTTATTCTTTTTAATGTAAAAAGTTGTATAAACCGAATCAATCTTTTGATTTTGTGTTGTTGGTTAACCCGGCCCTGTATCACTACTCTTCATTTTGGCTTAACAAAGATTAAATTTATTTATGTAAAAAAGAAGGTTAAATAGAACCTTATTAGCTTCAATATTCCTGAAAACATTCATATGGAAATTGCAAGTTGTATTTGATGTTTTTAATTGTTCGTTCTTAGCACTTGTTGTATACCTAGCTTGTAACTTGTGTGAAAAAAAATAGAATAATGAAGTAGGTTGATATCTTTAGATCACATTCCAAAGGCAAAAGGTAGCAAGTAGAACATTCCTCGGTACGCAAAACATGTTAAGTGTAATGTAAATATTACAATATATGGAAATTGTATTTCATCCTTGTGATGCCACCCTTTGATTCCTCTGTATATTACAATATTCACAACCAAAATTCCTTTACAGATGATAGAATATCTAGAATTCTTTATGTACTTTTGTCAGAGTTCAATGAGCACTGTATATTGTGGACTTTCTGATTTCTTTCAAAATAAAAAACTTGAGCAGCTCAGTGACTAAGGTTTGCGTAAACTGCTTTTGATAGCAACTGAATATGCTATTGAGACTAATGAAACATGATATGAAGCAGCAGTATCAAAAACTTAGCTCACAATGGCTGGAGTTCTTGCTCAGAAACAGCCACATCAACAGGCTTGTATGAATGCTCACTTTGCTGTCGTTTTTTCCAAATTAAGATTATTCCATATGTTGATAATCCTAGAAGCAATGTAAGCAGAACAACTAAACCCACAACCATGTAATATCTCTGCCACCAATTCCTGAATAATTTCAGAAAAGCATGTTAATATCTGAAGTGGTTGCAGTCATGATGAATTCAATAATGAGAAATTTTGGGATAGACACTGCTCACCATAGGAATTTGAATCAATATTGGAAAACTTACTCTAAACATGTGAAAGGTTGTGGAAGTTAGTTAAAACATTCTCTTTAAACAATTCTTTTTCTCATCCAACCTAATTGTATGCCACTATGCCTACCTAAGAATTTCTATTCAACAATACACCCCGGACACTTCTGTCACCCCAACGAAACGACATGGTAATAAAAAGGGTGCGACCGAAATTTGCCCCAAAGTGTAAAGGTTGTTCTAACTTGGAACTACCTATAGATAAAGCCCATAAGCCCAAGTCATCAGATAAATAAAACTCACACTTTGAAGTTGGAGACACTAAGCACAAGATTGTGAATCCATCAAAAGATGAGTTCATGTGATTTTCCAGCTCTCACAAGTTTCAAAGCTCAGTTATCTTATTATAAATATTTGCTTGATAAACAAACAATACTATAGTATTGTAATAAAATATAAAGGGAAAAAAATCACAGGTTCAGCTACGATTCTGGAGGAAGAGGAGGAACGAGATGCTCCACTTGATGACAACTTTGAAGGCCTGGAAATATGTCACTAAATAGAGACAATCCTCATCTTACAAGCCAGTTTTGTAAGGTAGTGTTAGGCTCAACTGCAATTCTTAGATGTCATTGGAGCCTATCCAAAATCGTTTCCACTATCAGGTCACCCACCATTTATATTTACAAACCAAACCCAGGTTCAGCTACGATTCTGGAGGAAGAGGAGGAACGAGATGCTCCACTTGATGACAACTTTGAAGGCCTGGAAATATGTCACTAAATAGAGACAATCCTCATCTTACAAGCCAGTTTTGTAAGGTAGTGTTAGGCTCAACTGCAATTCTTAGATGTCATCGGAGCCTATCCAAAATCGTTTCCACTATCAGGTCACCCACCATTTATATTTATAAACCAAACCCAGGTCACCCACCAGGGAGAGTGTTACAAAGTCCAAAGTCGGAAGATATGGTCTGAAAATATGTTTATAAATTCCAAAGAAAGAACTTACCTTTTTGATGCAGGCTCAACATTCCAATCAATCAACTTATAACTTCCAAAGGTATCAGGAAGTTCCATATGGTGTTCAGCAAGCCGTCCAATTTTACTCTGCACATAGAAATTATGGTCATTTGGAAGTCTCCAAACAAATGCAGATGCGCAAATGCCAACTTACCATTACAGTGGTGTTAGAAAAGTAATCAGCATATGGCCTTGGGGTTATGGCCCATCTAGAGAGGGAATCATTTCCAAAAGAGGTCAAATTCAGTAACTTGATCTGTGGACATCCACCAAAGTGTCATAACCAATTTATCAAAGAATAAGCATAAAACATATCACATGGAAAAAATACAGAAAATGCATGGTTTATATAGGCATTTTAGAAAGTTTGCATCACGACTTGGAACTTTAAACTTAGGAACGTCTACCCCAATATGAAACCTACTAACCACTCAATTTGCAACCTAACTACATGCATATAGTTAATCAAAGATGAAGATATAATTATACTATAAAACATTTGCAACATAGTAACTATTTTCTAACCTGGGAAGTATTAACATCTAACTCATGAGCTATTAGTCCAGCTAATTCAGTAAG